TGTTTTGAACGAATCTCTGTTGCGTGCGTTGGGGTGGGAATGGGCGTTGTCGAAACTGAGATGAAAATTCTGCGGGCGTGTGTGAATCTGTGAGCAGGCACTTAATACGTACGCATTAATTAGTGTGGATGAATGTACTTAGCAGACTCAAAACACATTTGTAAGGAATCAGTATCGAATGTCGAAGTGTAGACAGATGAACAGTTTAATCAATCTGTTCAAATACAACAAAACTATATACATATCTATATATATAAATGTGTGTGTATGCATTTGTACGTGTGTGTAAGTATGTGTGTATGAGTATTTGTGTGTAAACGCACATTCAGATAGATAACTATATAGAGAGATAGACATAAATACATTGAAATAGATATGAACACATTGAGATAGATAAATAAATATATAGATATGATTACACTGAGATAGATGGATATGAATACACCGAGGCAGATAGACAAATACCTATGTACAAATAGGTAGATAGATATATATGAATACACTGAAATATATATATATATATATATATATATATATATATATATATATATATATCAAAAACACAGAGATGGATGGATAGATAGATAAATGTGAAAACACTGAGATAGATATATAGACAGATATATAGACAGATAGATAGATAGATAGATAGATAGATAGATAGATAGATAGAAGAGACTGTGGATAGATGGATAGATAGATAGATAGATGATAGATAGATAGATAGATAGATAGATAGATAGATATGAAGAGACTGTGGTAGATAGATAGATAGATAGATAGATAGATAGATAGATAGATAGATAAAGATATATGAAAATAGATGAGATAGAAAGATGGATGGATAGTTAGTTAGACACGAAAACACTGAGATACATATGAATAGATAGATAAATCGATAGATAGATATGAATAGACATAGATAGATAGATAGATAGATAGATAGATAGATAGATAGATATGAAGAGGATGATTTATTTTTTTTTTAACCTTGTTTCTCTCAGTTCTGTCAACTGAAGTGAATTGAAATGGGGTTGGTTAGGGGTGGCGCTTTTAAACCTGATAAAAAAAAATGGAAGACAAGGGATAAGAAATTCTTTTTCTCATCCGATATTCATCTGAAGATGATAGGAGATCGTTCAGACTGACACATAAATACATAAAAACTAATATTCCTGTTCTTAGCAATGGAATTATGATTTCCCACTTAATCTCTGAACAAAAAATATTATTATTAAAATCTTTTACTTTTGACTATTAAGGACTGGTAACGGATTTGGTTCAAGGTTTCACTTTTGAAATAAAATTTACTTTATTTGAATTTCTATACATGACTGTTTTTTCTTTTACTATTTTTTCGCGCATTTTCTGCGAAAGACCAGTTGCCATCCAAGGCTATAGAACCCAGTCTGTCCTGCTATTTACCCATACGAGAAGAAAAGGATTCATACCTTTCCCAAGAGTATTAGCATGTAAGTGAATGTAATTGGAATTGGACTGGAATTCGAAATCGGCTCTCCGATTCCTCAATCCAAGCCGCTATCCATTACTCTATTGTTCTCTATTTCCCTTCTCAGTGGTCTCGCTTTTAAATAGGTATGACTATTTAGTGAGCTTAAGTCAATTTGGCATAAAGCCCTAGTCATGTGGCACTCAGAGAGGATCGAACTCACTACACTGGCGAACTAGTCTGTAAGACGAGCTACGGTAGATGACCGCAGAATCAATTTATTGATACTTATTAAACTTTATGGCATAAATAGCGAGAAATGTATTCTTGTATTATAACTTTATGTTATTAAGAGGAAAGGTAAAAGAATTTTTCATTATTAAATTATATGTTTTATTCCTTTTAGAACTTTTTAGAAGTTCGAAATTTTGGTTAAAAATTTTGTTCATGTTGCTGGGGAGTGTGGGGGAGGAGAATTAGTATACGGAATTTTAGAGTTATTAATTAGGAAATTGTAAAAATCAAATAATTGTTGGATTTTAATGAAACTTAGAAGACATTCACAAATGAATGAAGTTTTAAAAAAATCTTGGTAACAACATTTTTTTTATATCTGTTCCCCGACTCCGCTCCATTTTTTTTTTTTTTAATTTTATGAAATTTCGTGAAATTAAATTTTGTATCGCTTAATTTTTATATTCCTTATACAGGGAATTCCTTGGAGAATTTAAATCATCAATTTTCTTTTGCAAAACAGGACTCCCCCACCAATCCAGTTACCGAAAATCTACTCTAAATCATAAAATAAATAATGCATTAAAACTAAGATATTATTTAATTAAAAAGTTTTTAATTATTTTAATGAGTAAGATATATTATGGACACTATTGTCTTAAGAAAATTTCGATGAATAATAAATTTTTAAAAGAATTGTTGTTATTTAAAAAAAAATGAATTAGAATAATTTCTAAACTTTGAGAAATCTTTTAAATGTCTGTATTACAGTGTAACCCGGATATAAGAGAGTTGTCGGGACCGGAGAAGAAGTCTCTTATATCCGGGTTTCTCTTATATCCGGGTTTCTCTTATATCCGGGTTTGGTCTAATTTATATACATTAACAGGATCTAATTTGGGACCAGAGAAAATCTCTCTTATATCCGGGTTTCTCTTATATCCGGGTCTCTTATATCCGGGTTACACTGTACTTCGTCTCTTTTAGGTGATATTGTTATTAAGTAAAAACTGTATTTGCTAATTATAAATGAAAAAGCTTAGAAAATTCATTAAGCCCCTAATATTTCAAAAAGAATTTTGTCTTTGACGCTCACATTATATTCCTCAAGTAAATATTACAGATATGCCAACTAGAAAAAATAGATAAACTTCCGTCTGTCAGTCAAGCTGTTAACCTGTCAACACCTTAAATAAACAATTACCACTTTGTTAAAAAATGTATTTCTGTGATATTTTAAACTTTAAGTAATATTTGTTTCAAATCAGATTAATTAAACTTTAAATCAGCTAATCTTCTTCAAATAAAGTTTCAGAAAAGTATATTTTATGTTTGAAAGATTTTTTTTAATAAAGAGAATTACATTGTGATGAAAGATGGCTACAAATGGCGCTAATTTCAAAACGAAATTAGCAATTTCAAAAACGAAAACTTCAAAACACAATTTCAATACGAAAACTCCAATCAATTTAAATTAGATTTGAAATACAGCAAAATATTTTACTCGTTGCAAATATTAAATTTAATCTATTAACTTGGAATTAAAACTAAAATAAAAGTTTCAAGAATGATTTTTCATTTAAAATTAAATTTTGCGCTAAAAAGCCATTCTTTTTATCTTCTCTTTTTGAAATCATTAATTATGGCATGTTTTATTAATCAATCGCACTCGAAATTCGATGCTATCGATTTTGATTCTATCAATTACTATTTCATAGATCTGTACTGATTTTCAAAATAGATGATGCGAATTGGATGTTAGAGCAAGGGACTGAAGATCGTAATATCTTCATTCGTCAGCAGATAAATCCTTTCTGCGATTTATACTGTGTAACACATTTACTGCCAACCACAATTTAACTCGTGGTTTGCAGTTTTTATTGAGACTGACTATGAGTTATCTTGTGCTTGGCATTTTCTGATACATTTTCATTTGCAGGCAACAACAACAACAACAAGAAGTTTAGTCTCAGTGATAATTACTTTAGTGTGAAAACAATGTTAACATTTAAGTTGAAGTTATAAATCAACTCATAAATTGAAGCTGGTTATTATAAAGTTGGCTTTTGAAAGATTTCGCAATTGACCTAAAACAGTCAACGTGTTAATTAGAATCGATAAACTGATTTCAAAGTTTTGCTTTCACCATTGTGAAAAGGCATGAATCTAACCCTCCCTAACAGTAATAAGATTCTGTGCTTTAATTCACTAAAGTCTTGCGAGATCAATTTGTTAAGCCATGTTTAATGGTAGGCGTTCGAATTTATAAACTTACTCTAATAAATCTTGTAGGTATTACTTTGGTGAGACAAAATCACACATAAACTCAGTTACTTGCATTATTTACATTATTCGGACTGTTATCATCATCTTCCTTGGCATATTCTTAAAGTTTCGGCCGTTGTACGCAACGGCTTTCTTCAGGTGATTGGAATGTTTCTTCAATATCTGTCTATATCTCTGAGATATTATGATTACTTGTCTTATTTACATTATTCGGACTGTTATCTCATCTTCATTGCCATATTCACAACATATCGGCCGTTGAACGCTCCAGCCTTTATGTCTTTGTCTCGCTATATGAGATGAGGTATTATGATTACTTGCATTATTTACATTATTCGGACTGTTATTCCTATCTTATTGCCATATTCACAATGTTTCGGCCGTTATACGCTCCGTCCTTCATCAGGTGATTGGAATTTCGAATCGAACCCTTTATTTCGTCCACTGGGGTAGATTGTTCTAGTTCCAAGTTCCATGACTCTTCCGGATGTCTCAGTTATTTTCCTTTAACTCAACTTTTAACTTTTGCTTCACCACTGCTGTGGCCTGGTATTGAACTCACAACTCTTTGGATCTCTGGATCTAACCAATGTCTTTATCCACTGGGCCATATGTCCTTCAAGAAGTCCAGAGCGTACAACGGCCGAAACCTTGTGAATATGGCAATGAAGATGAGGATAACAGTCCGGATAATGTAAATAATGCCTCATCTCAGAGATAGACAGACAAACTCAGTTCTTGAAAGATCATAGCTTCCTAGCATGTACTCTCTTCTGAAGCAGCGACGTCTCTGCTGGTTGAGCGTTGTCTGTAGCATAGATGACAGAAGAATTCTAAAGAACATTCCCTATAAAGAATTCTCAAAGGAGAAGAGAATCTTTGGCTTATCCTATGTAGGGTAAGAGAACAAGAAGATATGAAATCAGTGGAGGACACTACCGCATCACCAATATAATTGAGACAAATCAGTACATGCAACATCTATGGCCATGTTTGCATCTTCATGCACTGGACTTTGTAGCCACATAAGATGCTGATTGAGAGTCTGACAGTCGAGCATAAAGAAATGAATGGTCTTCCAAGACTCCAATGCCGATGTCTAATAAATTATTCAGTGAGTTATAAATTCATTACATTACGAATAGTCAACAATAGCGGTCGGCAAATACATTTTGCTGTTACTCCAATGGCGATTATTTCAAGGGATGCCATTACCCGCAAATTTTTTATATATTTTTATAGTCATATATCATTACCTAGGAAAGAGAAAAAGACAATAATTCGATGCGAATTCCTCTTCAATAATTGCAAACTTAAAACAGCAACAGGGAAGGGAAAACGTAAAGAATTAGAAAAATAAATAAACGGTTGCAACACATTTTCCTCTCAAGAAAAAACAAAACAAAACTATTAATTTCGGATTGACGACGCGGTAGTCACTCCTTTTCGATTGTATTTGTTCAGGAAAACCCGGTTATCTTTTTATTACCCAAGGCATTTCAATTTTACTCCTTGCAATTTAATTTACCCCTAGATACCGACCGTTAATTTAGAGCAGAGGTTACCACACATTTTTCTCTGCGCCGCATTTTCGGAATTAAAAATTGCACGCGCCTCAACAAATTTTATGTGATAAAAAGTACATTTAAATATAAACAAAACAGAGAGAGTTTTAAAGGGAGATAACCGTGGATTCCAAGTCAGAACATTATCATTGATAACTCTCTCCTCCAATTTGCAGAGCCTAGTTAATATATTCTTAATATTTGATATAATGCAAAAATATCACAATCATAAAATCGGTCAATAATTATTTATAACTATTTATACCTGAACTCATGCATGCAATTATAAATAATTCATAATAATATTTTAAATTTTCAAGTCATATTTATTTTTGGCATATGAATTTTTTTAAGCTGTTTCTAACTCTTTGTCTTTCAATCATCCCGCCTCACCTGCTATCCTCTTCCGTCTCACCTGCTATCCTCTTCCGACTCACCAGCTATCCTCTTCCGTCTCACCTGCCATTCTCTTCCGACTCACCTGCTATCCTCTTCCGACTCACCTGCTATCCTCTTCCGTCTCACCTGCTATCCTCTTCCGACTCACCTGCTATCGTCTTCCGTCTCACCTGCTATCCTCTTCCGTCTCACCTGCTATCCTCTTCCGTCTCACCTGCTATCCTCTTCCGACTCACCTGCTATCCTTATCTGTCTCACCTGCTATCCTCTTCCGACTCACCTGCTATCCTCTTCCGTCTCACCTGCCATCGTCTTCCGACTCACCTGCTATCCTCTTCCGTCTCACCTGCTATCCTCTTCCGACTCACCTGCTATCCTCTTCCGACTCACCTGCTATCTTCTTCCGTCTCACCTGCTATCCTCTTCCGTCTCACCTGCTATCTTCTTCCGTCTCACCTGCTATCCTCTTCCGTCTCACCTGCTATCTTCTTCCGTCTCATCTGCTATCCTATTCCGACTCACCTGCTATCCTCTTCCGTCTCACCTGCCATCGTCTTCCAACTCACCTGCTATCTTCTTCCGTCTCACCTGCTATCGTCTTCCGTCTCACCTGCCATTGTCTTCCGACTCACCTGCTATCGTCTTCCGTCTCACCTGCTATCCTGTTCCGACTCACCTGCTATCCTCTTCCGACTCACCTGCTATCCTCTTTTGACGCATCTAATCTAGAACATGGAGTTGTTATTAATAACTCTACGGTAGGTGCCTTTTACTAAGATTAGCTTAGTCTTGTATAGAACGCTACTAGTGAGTCACACAATACCAATAAAACTCACAGCATTAACAAAGCTTAGTCAAATGAACTTGTTATCCATCACCCGACTGCAATATATCGTGAAATAAGCGCGGTTTTTCGGAAGTGTCGACTTGCCAAATAGAAATTCAGTTTTATTCGGTCCGGTCAAATATTTTCAGTTACACGAAATGTAAAGACATCAAATGTCGAGGAGCTGTCATAAATGATGCGACAGATCTTTCTTCTTCTGTTTGGGATGTCCAATTGAATGTGGACGATGGGTATGGGATGAGAAATGGAAGAAGAAGAAGAAGAAGAAGAAGAAGATTGTTTTTATATAGGTGGAACACCTCTCCACCCCTTGTACGAACTTAAACCGTTTTGTTCGCTCTTCTCGACTCCCGGGCGTCCTCCATCACCCAAACACCACTTTGTACGAACTGCTGCCCCGAAAATCTATCAGTGTCTAAAGTATTCCCGCGCCTACGTCATAAATCTCCCGTATAAATAAATAAAATTACTTATTACTGACGGCACGCAAAATGTCGGGGGTGAGGGTGAAGTACTTAGAAACTCGCGTACATTCGAGTATATTCGTAAGCAGACAGACGCACGCACCTGTGGTTGGGTGCGTACACAAACAGACTCTCATAAATAAACGCGTGCGTTTAAAATCATATACACACATAGGAAACTAAATACACACACAAATATTGTTTTATATCAACACACGCATAATTGCAATAAGATTTCAAAAAACACAAACACATGAATTTTTAGCCAAACCTGGGCAACTTGACGTAGAGTAATAGTTAATAAATTACTCTTGTAGACCCGTTGATTATCCAAGTGGGTTAAATCCTGACTTAGCACCCCCATAATTTTGTTTTTGCGTAGTATTAAACTCTTCTAGTTAATTAACTACTGTTACGTTAAGAGTATAAGCAAAAATTGGTTCGGTTCAGTTGATAGGAGAGAGCGGTCGGTAATTGTCCAAAAAAAGAGTTCACTCAAGCTTTCGGTTTGCACAGCCATCGACTCTTGGGTCAACCAATTGTATGGTTTTCTGACTAATCGATATGGTTAGATTCGAATTTCATTTCGGAATCGTCGGAACGCTAAAATACTTATTACTTGGTTACACTTGGTCAAACTTAGGAATTAATTAACTATAAATATAATTATGTTATAAATGAGTTAAAGTTCAAATGTGGCCTCCAATAATGAATCCGTCAGTATGATATGATAAAGAACAAATAAGAAACGTTTATTAATCTAACATGTTTGAATTAAAGCTTACACACACACACACACACACACACACACACACACACACACACACACACACACACACACACACATATATATATATATATATATATATATATATATATATATATATATATATATATGTCAGTTTGATCAAATATGGATTGGAATCCGACGGAATATAAAGAACAAATAAGAAACGTTTATCAATCCAACATGTTTCATTTTTATTAAAGCTTCATCAGAGATTGAGAAAAAACAGAGAAAAAGACAAATACACTATTATGAATACACATTACCGGCATAGACATATTAGAATAACACATAAAATAATCTACAGTTTTAATGCACGTGATACATGACTGACCAATGAGAATCGACTCAAACAAAATTGAAAATACCAAACTTCTGTTTTTTTGTGTTTTCTCTCAATCTCTGACGAAGCTTTAATAAAAGTGAAATGTTAGATTGATAAACGTTTCCTATTTGGTCTTTATTTTATCAACAATGTTATAAATGAATATGAAATGATAAAAACCGATGGACTCCTTTTTTCAATATTCACTTGTTCCATCCTGGCTATCATTGGATCACTCGACTTTTGCCAAAAGCGAAATCTCAAGGATCTCACTTTTCTTGGACAGCACTCTTCACAACAAATATCATTGTAGACGAGTTTCTTGTTAGTTTTAATTGAAACCACTAAATTCGTATCCATTGACTGACCAAACCAGAAAATTATTTCAAAGTCATTTTCTGTAAACCAGGTTTTGTTAAGGAGAAGTTTTCAACTGGGAAACAGTGTCTTTTTCTCTAAAACTTCCCCATTGCTCACATGCTCTATCTATGGTATTCTCAACATACTTCAGTAGAACCAAATTTCTCTTGACTCAAGTCTTTTTTTAATCTGCGATGAGATTGTCCAGCATTCACTGCCATATAAGAGGACCGATATTACATAACAGTTCAGCCGTTCTTTTCTTCGTTTCTAACAAAATTTTCCTGTTTCTTAATTCTTTGCTTAGTTTTGGAAGGCATCTTCGGATTTCATTGTCGCACTTTCGGTTCCCTGTTAAAAGACTTGTCAGATATTTAAATTTTGTTGCTTTCTTCATTTTGGCGTCTCCAATTTGTTATTCGCATGTTTGGAGTTTTCCATTTGTTGACAAGCAGATATTCTCTTTTCTTGCAATTGATGTTTAGTCCTTTCTTCTCGCTTTCCTTTATTAACTTCAGTCGAAGTTCTTGTAGTTTTCTTTTTGTGTCAGCTATCAAAAATGTGTCATCTGCATATAGAAGATTGTGGCCTCCAATAATGAATCCTGGTAGGACTTGTAATTCTCTCAGAATTGCTTTACTGTAAATGCTGCATAAGTTTTTCTCTTAAACCACTTTCTATTATTGTACATTTACTGAATTCATTTTCTGTCAGTATGTGGGAGGTTTGCTGCAGATTGAAAATGAATTCAGTAAATACATAAAGATAGAAAGCAAGTCATTAACAACATATATTATTCTGGTATTTTGTCGTATTTAAGAACATTTTCCACCTTAATTAGTCGAGGATACTCATTGACTGAGTAACTCCTCTCATCTACCTGAAAACCTTACCATTTGCGACAGCCAGAAACAGACACTCAAGTTGATAATTTTACCAGATCTTCCAGGATGCCCTTCTTAATTAAAAGTCACTTTGAAAGAAGAAAAAAATCACCAGTCGGCAAATTGAGTACAAGAGACTATCAAATTCCTTGCTTTGAGTTGGTGACTCTCAGTAGCAGCAAGGTCCCTGTAGGTCAAGTGCATATTGTGATATTAATGCATTGATATAATTACATATCGGCACTCTAACCCCACAAGACAAGATGCGGCACAAGGCCAGTTGTTAACGTGCGGCGTTCCGAACCCGTAGGCCCGGGCAAAAATTGCCTGTAGACCCTGTATACACGTGGTCGGGTTTTGTCTACATCCCCAAACGAGACTCTGACCTTCGGAATAGCTTCGCCTGGGTCCTTCAGCACTCATAGATATATGCATATGTCACGATTCATTAGTACCGTAACTCGTTAGAGTCTTGGGCAAGATAGCCTTACGGAGCTCAACCCTCTCCAGGTTGGTTAGAATTCAGTGTTTTCTTTCTCCAATACCAGTTGCCAGTCAAGGTAGAACCCAGGCTGTCCTGTTATTTACGCATATATGGGGAGTGGTGGGAAGAGATGGATTCATACGTTTGCCAAGGGTATTAGCACATAAGTGAATGTGATGAATTCGACTTGAATTCGAACACGGCTCTGTGATTCCTCAATCCGCTTGGACACAAGCTTAGTGACCGTAACAATTACACACATTCCAGCGAAAGCGGAAATAAAACGTGGCTAAAAAGTTTGGATTTTAAATTGATATTTTCTAGATTACTCCAATTCCTTTGGAAGATTGGCACAGCACACTCTTCCTTACTATTTAGTCACTCCAAGGAAAGATAAGCTTTGTCAATAACCAAAGAGATGTGTTCTGATGCGATTAAAATTTGATCAAATTCATTACTTCAGTTATTTTATTTTGTTTCCTTACAGATAACATTCTTCTAATCCGGCATTCTTTTAATCCGACCAAACTTTTGTCTTCCTATTTTATACTTGCTTCTGATAAATCTTTATTTACTTTTAATATTTGTCTTTTATCAGCGATTTTGTAATCACTGTCTGTCGATATTTTTAAAAATATGAACTCCATTTTATGAAAATTATTCATTCCTGTTTATTTATCATGCCATTTAGGTTTCCTGTTCATTTATTTTACGGATTCAAGACCAGTCGTCAGACACATCTTTTTTTTTTTTTTAAACTCGACATCCAATCAAAACTTTTAATTGAAGTTTATTATTTGTGTTTCTGTCAGACGATTCTGGAGTTAGGAATCATTTCATTCAGTCAATATTACATCAGAATGTTGTAATCTGAATTAATATTTGTTTTGACTGTATCATATTCTCTGACCTTCGAAGAAGTCGAGGAAATGCTTATCAAAGTCTTTAATTCATTTTTTAATTTCTTTCTGTTTGAGATAATAATTTCTAAGAATTTTGAACTCCGATATTCTATTGCGGATTATCAAAATGATTTATTCGCATTTTTATTTCTGTTCGTATTAAACGTTTACCGTTGCAAATTCCGATGGACATTTATTTTTATATTTTGGGCCATTCATCAAAAACAATTCTATTTAAGAGCACTAATAATGTGCAGCCCCCAATACTTACACAAAGAAGAACTATACATAGAAAACACTTTCGAGAACCTCCAACACTCTTATTATTTCATCCACAATGCTAACAGAAAGACATAAAAAAATTATTAACAGCAATAAACTAGATAAAAACAGACACAGAATACTACCTACTAACTCCATAGCATCCACCACTATCCCAAAACAATCTATTCAATCTAACATCAAAATAATTCCAACCACATCACAAACTATCATGGATATGGTGAGAACCCAAAATACCCATAACAATAATAATCCTGAAGAAGGTATGTACAAAATAAGTAACCAGAACTGTTCCTCTCAATACCTTGGGGGAAACTTGCAGAAATAAAAAAAAGTATGAACATAAAAGAGAACTTATACAGAACAGTTTATCAAATGTATTAGTCATACACAGAAATAAATTCAACCACAGATTTGATGTAA